TAATACATGTAATGTATGTAATCTTTGGCAGGTGGAACATCAACAGATACCAATAATGCAAATTATGACCTCATTTGCATAATTAATGCGAAAATTCAATGGGTAAATGATGGGAATTTCCTACTTGGTGTAAATTGTAAATTCATCAAAAGTTAACATCACGATACATTAATTATGTTAATGTGGAGGTCATTTGCATAATTAAAGAGGAAATTTACATTTACACGTCAAGCCCATATTTCATGGAGGTATGTGATCTCAGATCTCTTGTATATAAATATTATAATATGTTAGTCCCACATGCTGTCCAAAATATTAATAATGTCACTAGTGAAGTATGTCTGCTTACATGTATGTGTCCTACAGGTCAACAAAAGGCCACATTTTTCTGTAATGCTACCATGAAATTGGTGTGGTACAGCTTAATCATTGACAGACATGCATTCAGTCTCAGGATTCCTGTTTGTGTAAAAACATCTCTATCTCAGTAAATAATTATACTCATTAGTTAGAAGTGTAAATGTCAGTTATGGTAGTTTTCCAGTTTTAATACATGTACATGATTATAGGATGCTACAAATTAACTCTATTATAAGCTACACCTGATGTCCTAGCAGCTTGCCACCTGTGGGTCACTGTGACCCTGTAATTGATTCAAGTCACCCTGTCACCCTGTCACTGATAGGTTCCTCTTTGTACTTGATACTGTTAGACAAGCCCAAAGTTCTTTCCATGTTTTCTTTGTTTAAGGTAATATCAGTCATGGTTGATAAATGTTGATGGTGGATAAAGGATGGTCTACTAGTAGTCTGGTACATAATTTATTGCAACTTCCAAAGATGTAGGTGTGTATAGACATTTTTACAATACAGCAATATTATATTCCATAAGGAACATTGTTTATTTTTATGATGTCAGAATATATCACTGTGCTGAATAGAAACCAAAAGAAGTTACCTATCCTCTTTGGCTTACAGTTAGCAGATGTCATTTAATCTCTTGGGACACAACACACTTTGGTAGTGGTACAGTAAATTGGTCATTGCTTACAGGGTAAAGTCAAATTAAATCTACATACCATGTATGTATACTTTAAATTGCCAATGAAGTAAGTAGTTTAGCATGGAAGTCCTTCAAAGACAGATATGAATGTCTTTGAAATTCACGCGCAAAAAAGACAAAATTTTGCGCGTGGACAGTTCACGCGCAAAATAGGTTAAAATTTGCGCGTGAATATGTAACTTTAAATGTTGCCATTGAGTGGCTCAAAGTAATCTAAATGAACACTATAGGTCTTATACTTAGTTATAGGATTGCAGCAATTAAGCTTTATAGCTATAAAAATCCTTCAATCAAATAAGCTGGAAGCTCATTTGCATAAACATGTTATGCAAAAAAATGTGTATTTTTTGGTATCTAGGCATCAAAATCATGAATTTTTGACAAGTACATGATTTGCATATTTCTATGTGCAAATTTCTTGTAATCAAATTTTCACGCGCAAATTTTTCACGCGCGCGCAAATTTTTCACGCGCAGAAAACCCGTTCCCGCTGTGATAGTGTACCCATACATTTTGGTATCTTCAACAGAGGAAAAGAACATAAAATGTGGAACCGTCCAACATAGTATCAAACCATACTAACATAATGGTACATTAACATAATATGATTCAGTTAATGACATATACATGTATAATGCATGATTGTCTATCAACATAAAATAAAGTTTGTATTTGCCACTGTAGGCTCTCCGCATGATGTTATGTCAAACAAAATTGATATGAGGAACAAACAATTCATTGGTTCCAATTTCCACAAACAAACTTTCTTAAATCTTTTTTGTTTGTTAAATCCATCTTCAGTACTACTAGTCTAGAGCTTACCAATATTTCAAGCATTAAAGGCATCCAAAAAAAATTACAATTTTACTGCCCTGAAATCACTTTGGTACCTTTTCAGTTTAATGATTGAAATTATATGTCTGTGTTTGTTTCACTCAGGACATGGGAGAATTTGGGATAGCACCAAAAATGGTCGCCACAACAAAGGAGTTTGTGTCTGAGGAAAAGGAGGACGTTCGAAGAAAGAGAGCGGCGGCAGCAGCTGACCAGCACAGTGTGTTACCAGCATTACTACAGGACCTCATCATACCTGCCAGGTACAGTACCTCACAGTGTGTTACCAGCATTACTACATCATACCTGCCAGGTACAGTACCTCACAATGTTTTGGGTTGGGTGCACCAGTGCACCTGTTCCCAGAAATAAATTCCGAGCCCTGCCACGGTTTGGATCTCCTGAATCTGACCTTTGACTGACAGGCGATTCTACCTGTGGTGAGGCTGGTACCTCAAGTAATGCGGGATATACCATCTACTTTTCCTTATTTATGTAGATTACCATGTTTGATTGCTAACTATTGTTATCATGGGGTCGTGTGGCGTAGCAGCATAGTGCTCGACTTGGAATCAAGAGGTCCCGGGTTCGAGTCCTGACATGCTACCGATCTTGTGCCCTTGGGAAAGGCACTTTACACGACTTTCCTCACTTTGCTCAGGTGAAAATGAGTATTGTATTGTCCCCTTTGTTGGTGGCAGCATTAATATAAGTTGAAAAAATTTGAGCGTGCCGTCACCATGCACATCTTGTGATTAGATGTTGGAATATAAAAAAAAAACTATTGTTAACTCTTGTTATCAGAGAGTCCATCGGAGTCAGGCTGCTGAGGAAGATGGGCTGGCGGGATGGGACTGGAATTGGTGCAAAGGTCAGGAGGAAGATCAAGATGAAGAGACAGGCTGAAGGTAAAACAGCTGGAAATCTACTGACTTTCACTTTCACATTATTATGTAGAAATACCCACATGCAGTTTGTATTTTGCAGACTCTGAGACATTTTCAATATTGCAGAAATAAGTAAAACTTAACTTAAGCAATTTTGCTGACTAAAAGCAAAGAGTCAGGCTAGGGGTTCAATAGTGTAAGCCTCTGTGCACATGGCCACAGTTTTGCCCATCTGTGCAGTGCAAACAACATATCTTGCTTCTAAACCCAGGTAGCAGAGTTTCTAGGGAAATTAAGTACATGTACTTCTTTCCTGTTGGTGCAGACTAAAAATTTCTACTAAGCTGAAAAGTTTTTTTTTAATTGTATTGAGAATAATGTTGTTTTAAGAGCTTAATATGTGTTTACTAAACCTTTTTTTTTTTGGAAACGAGCCGAAAATTCATGCACAGATGTCATCCATATAATCAAATCAACATGGTCTTAACAAGCAAGTCCAATTTTGACAGTAAAAATATAATTTTTCTTTTCAATTCTTGTAACTTAAGTATTCCAAACTTAAGTAGCTTAATGTTTGGAAAGAAGAGGGCCATCCATTCTAAGCTGTCTTTGCTTACACCTTCAGTAGCTCCTGCCCAGAGGCTCTATGGCTGTGCCCCTCCACCTGGTCACAGGCACTCAGAGGTGAGAAGTTGTGTTATCTCTCAATTGATTGTTTTATTATGATCTCCATTATTATAAAGTTTCCTGCAGTAGTTTTCGGATATTAGTATTTGGGCCATCACACAGTAGGGCATGCCCCCACTCTTTTTCCGAAGATATAGTGGGTTGATACTGCTCTTGATACTAGCCCCCCCCCTCCCCAACACACATAACCACATGTGTCTGTCCTTATTACTGAACCCTCCCACATAACCACATGTGTCTGTCCTTGATACTAAACCCTCCCACATAACCACATGTCTCTGTCCTTGGTACTAAACCCTCCCACATAACCACATGTCTCTGTCCTTGTTCTAAACCCTCCCACATAACCACATGTCTCTGTCCTTGGTACTGAACCCTCCCCACATAACCACATGTCTCTGTCCTTGGTACTGAACCCTCCCCACATAACCACATGTCTCTGTCCATGGTACTAAACCCTCCCCACATAACCACATGTCTTTGTCCTTGTTCTAAACCCTTCCACATAACCACATGTCTCTGTCCTTGTTCTAAACCCTCCCACATAACCACATGTCCCTGTTCTTGGTACTAAACCCTCCAACATAACCACATGTCTCTCTCCTTGGTACTGAACCTTCCCACATAACCACATGTCTCTGTCCTTGGTACTGAACCCTCCCCACATAACCACATGTCTGTCCTTGGTACTTAACCCTCCAACATAATCACATGTCTCTGTCCTTGGTACCAAACCCTTCCACATAACAACATGTCTGTCCTTGGTACTTAACCCTCCAACATAATTACATGTCTCTGTCCTTGGTACTGAACCCTCCCCACATAACCACATGTCTCTGTCCTTGGTACTAAACCCTCCCCACATAACCACATGTTTCTGTCCTTGGTACTGAACC